TTGTACATTTATTAATTTAAATATATCTGTTTTGTTACTATAACAGAGGTTTCAATCAATATATTTATTATCACTGTGTTTGCTTTGATTTCAGATTTGAAAATGACAAGTATAGCAAAGTTCCTCTTTTTATATATGGTGATTTTAACTTTAGATTGGATTCCAATATATTAATTCGGGTAAATATTGGCTTAATGTGAACGTTTTTTTGAAGAGCAAAAATGTTTTAAGTACACTTGTCGACTAAAATTTTCAATATTAAGTGTATTTGAAAAAATTGTATTCAGCTTTATTTTGCTTTATTTGTTTTTTTTTCCCCTGGTCATTTTTATTAAGATATTTTGAACCAATTTTTTTGGGCCCCCATAATTTTATTTTCCCAATTTTTTTTAAAGGAATTAACAGGCAAGCTGGTTGCTCGGCAATCTAGGGGGAAAAAAGACCAAATCAACAAAATAGAATATACAGAAGAAGGAAATGGAAAGGTAACACTTATTCCAATAATATAATAATTTAATATGCTTAATTGAAGTTTTGATCTCAAACTGTTGCTGTTTTCTCATGTTAAATCTTAATCTTGTTTATTATTTAAATAGGTTGTGCTCACCGTTGGCAGTAAAAGTTTTGACTATTATGATAAACACTCAGATCTCTTTACCAACATGAACAAATGGGTAAGCCCCTTTTCATCTAGTTGTTGCAATCATTTTAAATTTACTCATTCTGACTTTAGCAATTAATGTCCATTATTTTCCTTGTGTACTTTTCTTAATTTTTGTTATATATATAATATATTATATTATTATTATATTATATATATCAGTAATTGTTAAATTAGTGTCAAAATGTAGCACTTTGTAAGAGACAAAGGTAATAAGTTTTATCTCTCCCCAACACAGTTACATCAGTACGATACAGAATTCTCTGCTTTTAGAGACCGGTTAATGGAATTTGAAATCACCTTCCCACCTAGGTAACTTCCACATTTTTTTTATTGAATTTTTTTTTCTGGAGACCACATCATGAAATGGAAAGATTCTTATAATTTAAATCAGTGACATTCATAGCTCGTAAAAAATAATTTTTAAAATACTGTTTGAACAAATTCATTGCCAATGGATTTATTTATAACAATATAAATTTTCTGTAAAGAAAAGAAGGAAAAAAAAGCTGTTGTGAGTTCTACTTCTAGGTTTCCATAATATATCTTTTTTAGTGAGAGATAAAAAAATATATATATATATTGATTTGATTTTTAAAAATACAGTTATCCATTCTGTGAGGATGTGGCTGATGGAATCTCCTACATGAAAACAAGAGTCCCTTCTTGGTGTGACCGGGTTCTGCTTACTCACACTACCAAAGACATACTCATACAGGTAAGACATACCAAACAGGTATATACTGTTCTGGTTTTTAACTTGACACAATTTTTACATGCAAACCTTTCATAACATTTCATTGAATGCCTCTCGTGTAGGTCACATGTTATTATGCTTTTATTGATAAAAAGTGAGAATTTAATGATGCATTGCTTTCACCCTTAGGATCCATCACATCCTGTCATCTATGATCTGATTGGCAAGGATACTTGTATGGGTGACCACAAGGTTAATTGTCTTTTTGTCTTGTTAATATTATAAAGTTGATCTCTTCATTACTGGGTTAATGGACATTTTTGAAAATCAAACTTCAAGTAGACAACAAAGGTAAAAACAAAGTTGAAAAAGTAAGGAAGTTCTTAGGGAAAATATTATTCTAGTTCTTGAAATATTAACACACACATAGTGAAACTACAGTGGGAAAAAATAGGAAGAAAACCTTAAAGCTTACACTATGAGTTGAAATGGTTTCTTTGAATTAATGTCAATTATACTTATAATGTAAATACAGTGGAGAAAAGATGAGATTTTAAAAAATTCATTTCGTAACTTTAAATAAATTTCTGCCTTTCTTACTGGTGTTATTTACTAAGTTTTACAATTAGAATTCCATGTGTATAAATGATTAGAAACTGACTTGAAACCATACTTTCAGCTTTTTTCTTCTTATGAAGTATTTTTCTTTATTTCCAGCCAGTGTATTTATTTGTTCACATGAAGCCAGGAAAAGGTAACCATGAGCAACAAGACAAAATATTCTCTGATATTCCCAAAACCGTGCCTCGGTCAGGGCTGCCTCGCCAACGTTCGCAGACACTTTCTATTAATGGGGAAACGGTTATAGGGGTTGAGTTGAACTCGCTCAACATTCACGACTTTGCAGTTTTTGAGAAAGAGCACAAGCTAATTCCAGAGTTTAGAGAAAGTATTAAGAATAAAAGGTCTCCAGACAGGGATGGCGATGCAGGTGGGGATAGTTTTCTCTCTGTCGGTAACATCACTAGGAAAAGATCTTTTCAAGATATTGCTCGACAAGTTAGAACTATTGAAAAGGTTCTCTTGCAGTGGCCAGGAAGGCCTCGAAGCCGTCACCACAGCTCGTCCTCTGAGGACTATCCGTCTGATGATAGTGAAAGTAAAAGCACTCATAGTCATGAAGTTGACAATCTAAATCTGCCTAACATTGCCCCGGCTTTAGGTAGACAAGAGATCAATGTGGGCCACGGTGAGGTAGTTAAAGATGCAGCTAATGTGGACAGGGATTCAAAATTGCTCAAACAAGATAATAATTTAGATATCTGTGATCAAAAGACCCTGAGAAGTGCTGAAATAAAACTAGCCATAGTCGGAAATGATGATGAAAGCCAAGATTTGTCCATTAATGTTGGCGCGGCATCCCCCCAGGTCACGGGATGTGGGGATAATAATGGCGATGAAGCCAAAAGTGTTGTTGCGCTTAGTCAGCATGAAGGTCGTGTGCATGTGGACCCACCGGTCCATCCTACCAGCTCCAATCCTCAGTCCAGCAGCCCGTCTTGTGGGAAAGAGCTGCAGGGTGTGAAGACTGAAGAGCCATCTTCATCGTCTGCCTTTCTTACTGGATGTTGTAGCTGTGTCGTGCTGTAAACTTGGTTCCTCCTTTCATCTGTAGCCCTTATTTTTATTTGTAAGTTTTAGACGCTGGTTTGAAGCAACATTTTTTGTTGAATGATTTGCATAAAGTTTTTCTGACAAGGCACAATTGTAATACATGTAGTAAGGATGATGTAAAGAAAGGGATGAAAATATGATTCTAGTTTTCTACTGAATAAATTTACTAAGATGACATGTTGAAAAGACAAGTTAAAGTTTGGTGTCTTTTTTTTTTATTGCATTCATTATAAAATTTCAAGTGCAATATATTGTTTTTTTAAGAAATTTCTTGTGTTAGATAAGTAAATTGTGTCATTCTACAAAAAATCAAAATGTGGATGAAATATTCAGCCGTAAATATTATGCAATTTTAAGAAAACTAAATGTAAACATATATATAGTTTAGCCTGCATTCTATCTTTTACGAATATATTATAAAATATTATTGACTCTTTGTATAGACAGGATTTTTAAAATAAAATAACAATGAATAAAAATAAAACTCTTGCAGCTTTATTTTTATTTGTTATAATTTTTAAAATAATAACTTCACTAAAACCTCTGCCATAAATACACTTTAATGAACTATGATGAAAACATAATTAATTGTATCCATTATTACATTTATTATTTCATTGTGCCTAGTCATAGTTTATGACTTGAAACTATTAAAATTATATTTAACTTGTATCTACCGATGAATGAAAAAATATCTATGTAACGAACAGATTTATGACAACTATCAAAGTTTCCACTGTGTTCAGGCTTTTGTCGATGAATTCAATACAGCCTGAGTTCTCATTTGTATTCCAACTCTCCTCATAACTGGCATCTTTCATGCTTAAAACCATTCTTATGAGCATAACTCGATTGCATATGCCAAGAATGATTGAACTTACAATAAGCAATGCATGCCTATGCCAAGAATGATTGAACTAACAATAAGCAATGCAAATGACTTTTTCCTTTTAAACAGAACAAGGGACGTCTGGCTAAAGTATTTTGATGTGTTAACTGCTATGTTTATTTATCATTATATTTTTGTTCATGCCTGTCTTGTCTGTGCTAAAATTTTAAGTTTTAGACCTTCAATATATTTTGTTGCTTTTTCAAAAAATTCTCTGAATCATTTTATTTAGAAAGAATTTTGTTCTTCCACTTTTTCTGTGTGTCCCCTTTTTTTAAATACCCTTTGATTCAGTTCTTCCATTTACAATTTTATTTAAAATTTGTCCGTACTTAGATTATTTAGAGCTTCTTAAAAGAGATGGCAATAAAGTTTAATATGTTTGCACAAAGAGCAAGAAAATGACAGATATGATTAGCACCTCAACCCCAAATGAAGTCCTTCACACTCCTCAGTATATTGTGTTTGATATAAATAAAATAAAAATACACATCTGAGGTTTTAAAGCCTCTGTCATTACTTTTCTTAAACCTTGGTCTATACATTTGCAATACTTAAAATTCAATGGGATGATCAACCTGGCTAGTGTATAGAATTCACAAATTTTTTTGTGTTACTTTCTGTGTATTTATCCTGCATGTTTTCTCTCATCTTATTTTGTGGCTTGATTATTCTTGAATTTGCTTGTGACACAGTGCTGACTCATCTCACAGAGCTAGAAATATGTTACTTTTGTAAACTTGATTTGTGTTATCTTCCTAGACTTTGTTATGATCTGAAAAGAATACTCTTATATTAATGATCAATTTCTCAAAAAGAAAAAAAAAGGCATACATTTTAAAAAATTTTCTCTTAAAAACAAAAATCTTAATTTTTAATCAATTACTTAAGTAAATGTCAAGTGATTACTTAAATAAGCCAACAGGTTGTTCTTACAAAACATAATTTTGTTAACATCCTATTCCTGTTTGTTTATATCAGTAAAGTAAATATTTAACTGAATATCCTATCAGTTTGTATTTGTCTATGTAGCAATCTTAAATCTTTATTAATCTCCTATTTATCCTCTTGTAGCACCTACCCCAAAGGCTGAACTATCTGCCCTCCCTGGAACCAGTGATATCATCATTCCCAGCACACAGGTCAAGATCTCGGAAGTGGACACAACACGCTACATCCACATAAGACAAGGAGAGAGCTCAACACGTGTGTTCAGAGAAACATCTGTATGACGACATAGACTTATTTAAAACATTTTTAAATTCATTATTTAGAATACAACAAGACCATTTCATTGTTGTTATGTAGTTAGGTCATGTGGAAATACTAAATAGATTTTATAATTACTACAGAAATCCAGTCTTTTTAAAAAACTTTTTTTGATAATATGTGATACTATACTATGAATTAAAATAAAAATGAAATGTGATTTTCTAATTTTACATTAAATCTTAATAGGCACCATGAAATTATAAATTTTTATAGATTTAAAAACATATTTTTTTTTTATCTGGACATTGCTCACTCCCTTTTGTGTTTGCTTATTTCTAGTGTCACCATTTAAAATCATTACGCCATCAAAGTTACAACTAAAATGTTGTTTTTTGTTGTTTTTTTTTGTGTGCATCAATTAAAATATAATTACCTTAAAATGTTTTAGTTTAGTTAGTCATGCTGGGCATGACGTGATGTGACATATAACGTGTTGTAGTAGACTCTTTTTCTCCACCCTTGGTATTCATCAATGGTATACAATGATGTGACACTTTGTTCCCTGTTAATTTTTTTCTCAGGATCTTTTTCTCAACGTGCTATTTAAGAATAGCATCTTAAACTCTCAAGTTAAAGGTAATAGTGTTAACATGTATAGGCCAATTTACAAAACCCATTCAAATCAAATAAACTGTCTTTTTTTTTTTTTTTTTTTTTTTTTTTTTTTTTTTTTTTTTTTTTTTTTTTTTTTTTTTTTTTTTTTTTTTACGTTTCTGCTGCGCAGAAGAATAACATGAACTGCCATACCACTGTTTATCCTTAGTTCTTCAAAGGACTTTCTCTCCTCTTTTTTTAACTTTATGATTTTATTTTTTTTTAAATCATAAAAAAAAAAATTTGTTAAAATGTATATTCTAAAGAAATGAAGATTAACATGTGATAATTTCCTGGCATACGTTGAAAGCTGCGTAAAAGGCCTTCGTTAAGCAATTTTTTTAGATTAAATGGATTATGTTCATTATTTTGGTCTTATCATAGTATAAAACTTTGATTTGTTAAGGAAATCCTCATTTACATCTCAGCATTATCCACAAAGAAGCTTGAAATTATTTTATAATAACCTTGGCAGATCCTTCTGTTTTCCAACTGAACCACAAAGGTTGTTTGACAAAAAGAAAATTCAATTCAATAAGTTCTGAGTAATTCATATTTATTTTATTAATTAAAAAACTGTTTACTTTCTTTTGAAGATATTTTATTCTGAGAAGACTCAATCTGTTGACATATGGTTATATTTTCTCTTTTTGTTAATATTTTACAAAGATAGAAAAGTGGTGATTTGAAAACTTACAAGTTTTGAAAGAGGGTGTAATTACTTTCATGTTCAAGCTGCCAAAATTTTCATCTCAAATATATTTGTATAAATGCATTTTTTAAAAAAATTATTTTTTTTCTTTACAAGCAAAAATATGCTTATTTTATGTTTAGTTTAGTAGCAGAAAACATTTTTTTAAAATACATTACGAGTGACATGGTGAAAAACATTTCTAATAATGATAACTGACAACGAGCTTCAGGAGGTTTATAAAAACTAAATTGACAACGAGACAGGTGGATACATATATTTGAGCATTCATCTTCAAGAGCTTCCTTGGTTTATTTGAGCAGCATGATCCGCCACAGTTACTGATATTTTGCTTTGTCTAATTCCAAATAGAAATCACAAATACTTGGCATTTCAGCTGGCTGTGATGCTGAACTGATTGTAAATATTAAAGAATCTTCACGGACTACAAGTAGCTATCAATTTACATGGAAGTTGGGGTCTGGAGTAGATGTGATATGAGTTTGATTATCACTTACTTAAATTTCTCTTTGGAAAAAACAAACTTTTTAACAGTTGTTCACTTTGTAATAAAGTAGGCCATCTCTGAATGAAACAATCGACATGTGCTCATTTCTAATACTGGGACATCAGACACTTCTTTAACTACTGAACATCTCTCCATGGCGGTCTTAGTTTAAATTATTTTTTTAAAATCTGCCAACACTTCAGAGCAGCTTCCAGGCTCCAGGGGGAAGGGTAATATAGTTGCAGCTTATAACCTCAACATTACTAAAAAATAATAGATTCTTTGCACAGCTATACATCTACTCGATTCAGCTACCTCCACTTTATTTTGATACGAAATCATTTTCATTTGCAATCAGTATCTTTTTGTGTTGATATCATGTATTGCATAATATGATTTAAACTTCCAGTTAATTTCTTAGTTCTTGTCTTGTATTCATCTGCTTGTGACATCACATGTAATCACATGTAAGGTGAGATCATTTATTCAATCAAAAGAATGTGTGTTTGCAAAGACAGAGCTCTTTGATAAATTATTTTGGTGGACAGTGGAAAGCATTCTCATATCTTTCAATGCTTAAAATTGTAATTTTTGCCAATAACTAATTGAATTGTCACTGAAGTTGTACCAACCAAAAACGTTGTATTCTTTGTTAGCAAGTCGAAGTAAATTTATGTTTACGATAAAGTTAGTTGCCTATTTAGATTTGTAGACATATGAGTGTGTGACAATCAAACAACAAATTAAGAGAAATTATTGATAAATAGTAGTTGAATGCTTCAATGCTGACATAAAGAAAAAACTGCCTTGAATTTCTACGAGATTCTTATTTGATATGTTCATTAAATGGCCATGAAAAAGCTCTTCTGACTATCGAATAAATTAAAGAAATACATGTGGTTATATTTGCTTTTTTAAAAATCTAATTTTGTAGGATACACGCGTCTGTAAGTGATGTGCAATAACTTTGTTTCCTTGTTTCATTGATATTAAATTGAGTGTTCATCTGTACCATATTTCATCTCTGCAATTAAAAAAAGTATATATATGTGGTAGGCACCAGTGTCGAATTATAGATGTGGAAGACTATGGTCTAAAATAAGCTCTTTTATCGACAAAAGTGTCACTGAAATATTTATGTGGTCCAGCTTAGCAATCCAGAAATTTTAAAATTGAAACCAACTCCTTGAGTACAGTTTTGGAATTGTACACATTATCATTATTTTATTAAACTGAGATGAATACATTTCAATATAGGACCCTTGATCTAATGCATTCATTGTCATGAAAGCTGGAAAAAAACAACAGTTATCCTAAATATTAGGTACCATTTAATTTTATTAGTTGCATGATTTTAAGATTTAAATTTTATTTTCAAGTGGAAAAATTAATTATCCATTAAAATGTGTTCAAGTAAAAATATAAATTTAGAGAATGGAAAGTAATGAGGCCATTTGTAATTATGGTACCTCTAATATTTCAAGGGTAGAATGTGAGTGTTACTTTCCATGATATTGGAGATGTTTGGAAGCCAATATTTGTGACTTTATTATTTTTAACACTCATTTTTTAACTAACATTTTAACATATTGACTGTATGCATAGTAAATTTATATACCTTCATATAATTAATATATATATTTAATAATAGTAATTAGTAGGTGATTCGAGAAACTTTTTTTTAGTCAATTTAATGAAAATTCAAAAAGTGTACATTTCACTTTATCTGTACAGATTTTACACAAGACATAATTGGGAAGACATTAAAGCTTTAATTTATCTCAATTTGGTGTTTTAATTATTACAATTCTTTAAATTTTACATTTGTAACGATATTTTTAACCAAATATTGCATTTGCAAAAAAATAAATATGAAGGATCAGTTAAAAGCAAAACTATAAAAACTTACATTTTAGTTTTAATTAAGATTTCATTTGTGTAAAATAAAAAAAATAGTGATATGTCCTGTTATGATTTTGTCAATGTCAATGACATCAAGTGATATGCATTTTTTCCCCTCATTTCTTCCAAAAATAGAAGAAAAAAAACATTGATTTAACTGGTAACAATGAAAAAATATATGATATTTTGGATGCCTCCTCAAACATTTTGCCCTGTTTCAAACATAGCACATGGTTTATATAGTGGGCTCAAAATAGAGAAAATGAATCTGGAATCAGCTTTTATAATCCCTTGTTACTAATTTTTAAAGTATCAAACTGGATTTTAATTATAATTAAAACTGAGCACAATGCATCCATTGATACACAAGTACGTGTCACATTAATAAAGTCGGCCTTTGAATATAAAAGATTTTCTTATTTCAATCATAGACATTCATTAGTTATCAATTTTTAAAACTCATTAATAAATTGGATAAAATTGAAGCAGTTTGTTTTATTTCCTGGTTAACTAAAGAACTGAATTAATAATATTTAATTTATAATAAAATTACCTCTTAATAATGTAGATTGATTCTTCTTTTTGCTGACCTAACCATCACGGTGAAAGAAAAATGTAGATCTACCAATCATAGTTGTATAATTTCAGTTTTGATTTAAGCAGACCATGTTGTGACATTTATATTGCATTAATCATTTACTCTTTTTGAAATAGTAGTATATCCCACTTAATTGTACAAAAAATAAATAAAACTATTTAACAAAAATCGTAAAATTAATCATCTGATCATCAAAAACTTCATATCTTCATGGTTTCACCAAGAGTTCTAACTTTCTTCACTTGTGTGTGCATTAAAGTATTACATCTTTAGGACTCAATTAATTTTAAGCAGTCTTTTAAATTTACTCTTGTAACAATTTGTACTTCCTCATGTCCTTTTATGTCATTTAAAGAAATGGAAAGCATAATACAAGGTACAAAGTCACGGCTTAGTTATGTTGAGATTTAACATAAGAAATGAAAATACAAATTAGTGCAAACTAATTAAATAGCTATTTTATGCAATCAGTTTTGTCATAATAAGGCCTCCACCTCTTCATAAAATAATTAGCACAATCTTCTTCCCTATGAAATTTTTATGAAAATCAATGTAAAATATTTGTATAAAAAATTTAAATGAAATACATTTGGAAGGTCCCATGTTGATGTTGGTTATATATTCTTGACATATTGGACTCTGTTTTCTATTGCTTACCAGTGTAAAA